TATATATACTTATACACATATATACATTTTTTATTATTATTTTAGACCTCACCTTACAGAGTTTTGTGGTTTTCTTTTAAGATAATGCAGTCATGATTTGCACATGAGAGCAACTGAAATAATACAGTTAACASTTTTTTAGGACTAAAGCCGAGTTAGTTTCATTTAATTAAGTGAGTCAAATCAGTCTTCATTGGTTGTTTCTTTTTTTCACACTGTAAAATAGGACCCTTAGTGAAATGAAAATTCATCTTATTGTGTGAACAAGTAATTTGTACTATTTGAGACAAACTTCATTTCATTAAAGGTATAACTGGTTTAAAATTAAAGAGTTCTGACACCCTGGTGTAGTTGAGATCCAACAGTATTTAGAAAGTTTAGAAACACTTCATTTGTTAGAAACAACATAAAAATTGAATTATGGAACAAAAGAAAAATTAGGGTGACTTTGTGGAAAAGTGTTAATTATACTTTTGTATTTAACAAAGCACATTCCTTAGGTGTTAGATTGACATATCGCAAACGAAATAATTTGACAAACCTAAACTCATTATGTTAATGCTATGCAAAAATATTAAAATTTAAGTCATTAAAACTGCACCTTTGGTGTTTTTTTAGAGTGGAGTTTTACAGCTTAGCATAGCTTAGCATTGAGATGTAARGCAGGAAGAAAAACCGTGCAGCTCTGTCTCAAAGTTTAAATTATGTGACCTTTAAAGCTAATTTTTTTCTGCATCTAAAAATACACAGAAGTGTTGCTACAGAGGCTTGTTGTTTTCTCTTTCTTTTTCTTTCTTTCTTTCTTTCTTTCTTTCTTTCTTTCTTTCTTTCTTTCTTTCTTTCTTTTTTTTTCTTTTACAATCTCTTGACAAATGTCAACCAGTTGTTGCCCAAAATTTATCACAAAACCACAACCTCTCAATTTCAGCCACAAGCTGAAGTGCATCAAAAAAATGTGGAGGTGTTTCCTCTTGTTTGTTGTAACAGGAAGGGTCCTTTTGTTCTAGAAGCAGATCATGTGAAATACAGTTTGAGTTCTGTGGTTTGTGTTAAAACCCTGATTGGACATCATTGTGTAACTGATTGACCATTAATACAGTCATMAACCAGTTGTTGAAGGACAGTCACATACTGATGATTAATAATTAACACAGTATTTGGTTCAGTCCCCTTATTAWGTTGGCTTGACAATAGCAGAATTCTAACAATGCAAGGATCTGTCACCTGTCATCAAATTCTCACGAGGGATTTTCAGAGTTTTTAACAGATGTGGTGATAAGTAAATTGTTCAAAGGAGTGAATATTGTAGTTTAGCATCATTGGGCCTCATGCAAGAACCGTTCGTACGCACAGATTTGTTCTTAAGTTGTGCGTACGAGTGATTTAGGAGAATTTGTGGCATTCACC